GAATTAACTAATTTTTATGAATCAAACGATTTGTTAGATAAGGATCATCAATTAGATTTTAGTAACAAAATTTGTAGCGATGAAGATATCTTTTTGACAGAAACTACTTATCCTAATGAGGAATCAGTTCAACAAAATAATCCTGAGTGTGAATTTGATTCGTATTTGTTATTGCCAAAGGTATCAAGTCAAACGAATATACTTCAGTGGTGGGAATCAAGAAAGACTAAATATCCAGCACTCGCAAAGCTTGCCCGCAAGTATTTGTGTATCCCAGCGACATCGGTACCATTCGAGTGCCTGTTTTCGTCTGCAGGTCTTACTATTACAGAAAAACGATCAAGGCTTAGTCCTAAGTACGCTGGTACTCTTCTGTTTCTTAAGGCGGCTCTAAAAATTTAGCCAGATTCTCATGTTTTTGAATAGATTTATTGAGAAGGGGGGTTTTTTTTTTTCTTAAAAAATGCCTTTGGGCTATTAAGTTTTTTTTTTCTGTATATAAATGGTTAGTTCTAATAAGAGCTAATTTTATATTGATGTTAATAAAATATAGAACTTTTTGATGTAATTATTACATCATTAACTGTCAATTTGAGTTGCGCAATCCTATAATTCGTCAAACTGGTAAAATTAAGCATCTTGCGGCACTTTAACAGAACCCCAAAAAAAGGGAATTAAATTTTTCTAAGTGCGTAATAATAGAAGTTTAGGGTTAGGGCGTTAGTAAAAAGGACTATAGCAATAAAATAATGCTTATTATATGCAAAAATTTTGTTCCCATTATTTTTAATTAGTGCGGTTTAGATATTAGTTTTACTTTGCACATGTCAAAATTTGTGCTTTTTGATTGGCCAACCCGTATAACCCGGGTTAGACCAATTTGTGACCTGTGACCCGCATAACCCAGGTTAGGCCAATTTGTGACTCATGACCTGCATAACCCGTGGAGTTTTATGACCCACACGAGTTAGCCTGACCCGGGTAACATCACTAAACCTTGCCACCCGTCATGACTACCTCTCCCTTCTTTCTGACTTCTTCTACCTAAGTCCGACAACAAAATTAAAACCCTTACTCGTACATAAAAGTAAAAAAAATAAAGTCATGTTTATAAAAAACATAACCATTTTAAAAAAAAAAAACACCTCAAGGTGGGAAAAAAAAACTTTTCAACAAATTCTAAAATAGTCTAACATAAATGAACAAAAATAAAAAAAGCGAAAAAAAAAAAGTAGCCATAACACACTATTATAGTCCATGCCAGGCATAAGGATAAAAATTATATAATAATTGCAACTAATTACTATATTTCGATTGTAAACCTTTGGTTTAGCTTTGGGACTCGTTTCGAGCACCGACTCGACTCGGGTATCTTCTAAACAAGGGTGTAAATCTCTTCTCTGTACCGTAGTACCATATTCGCAAAACAACAAAACACGTGGTTGCCTTCTACTGAGTATGTTCCGATTTGGTAGGTGTAAACAATGCCGATCTTTTGGAGGGGTAAGCCAAAAAGCCCACTTTTTGTCGAAAATTTTGGTGAGAATGGCAGAAAATGAAAAAGAGACCTCTTGATACCATTTAAAAGAGAGTGAGTTACTAAAAACAACAAAGACAGCCTTCCTTCAGACAGTGCACTACTTGAATTTTGTCAGTGAGTGATAAACTCTGAACTTGTCAGCAGGTAGCATATGAAAACTACCTCTAAATGATAAGCGCTGGGTCTACAGTAAGTGATAAACTCTGAAACTGTTGGCAGGTAGCGTATGAGAACTATCTCTAAACAATAGTTACTATCTTACAGTCCCTTCTTTCTTTGACTTATAAGCTGAGAGGTCAGTTTTTACTGTTTTTGTTGAGTAGTTTTTTCATAAAAATTTGAACCAAGTGATTGTCAGAAAGAGTTTTGTTGAAAAAAGCAAGTTTTAATAGTATTATTATAGCTAATACTGTTATTCTTCTTTTTAAATCTGCAAGATTAAGACTATTTAGTTTTTATTTTCTTTTAGCTATTTTTTAATTACAACTAAATATTTTTTTAATAAGTCTATACTAAACTTATTTTAATATTTCTCTGAAATCTTAGTTTTGTAAAATACTATATAATATAGATAAAAATAAAGTAAATAGCAAATAAAAGCTAATTAGAATATTACTAGTTTTATATATACTTTTATTACTACAAGCAAATATTTTACTAGCAATTTGTCTTTTTTTATATTTATTTTTAGAATTAATATTTTATAAACTTTATCTTATTAAAGATTTATTTAAGTAATCAAAGATTATTAACTTGTTAATAATTAAATATATATATATTTTTGTAATAATAATAGATATTGCTCTTTTTTAATTACAAAATTAGAAGTTACCAAAATATAGAACTCATTTAAAATATATAATTTACTTAGTAAATGTTGTCTAATTTTGACAAAAGAAAATAAATATATTATAAAAGCTTTGTTTCTAAAAAAAAATAAATATTTACAACTTTCTTATTTTAAATTTAGCCTATTTTATATTATAATATATTTTGTAATTGTATAGCTTATCTTTGTTTAGAAAAAACATTATATTTAAAATCTGTTTAAGAAATTTTTTTAAAAAAAAACTTGTTAAAACTTCAATTCATTAAAAAATCATATCATGAACTTTGCAAAAGTTTTATTAACTTCTAATAGTTTTTTACTATATAGTAAATTTTATTTTATTTTTTTATATTAAATAATATTTTTGTTTTTTGATTATCAAAATTAATAATTTATAAATGAAGATAAATTTCAATTAGCAGTTATTTATAATATTTATAAATTGTGTTTTTAACATATTTTTTATTTAAAAGAACCCACTTTTAAGTTATAGTTAATAGTAAAATTACAAATTATAGCAATTATAGTATTTTTTTTTTTTTTTTTTTTTTTTTAAATTTTTGACAGTCTTGCCAGTGCTTAATTTATTGGGACTATATTTCAGGTGAGAGCTAAGCTCTCTCGAACAATACATATATCATTCATAACCAAAAAACAGAGAGTTTCGCGATTGTGAGCCTGACATCACCTGGCTGTGATAAATGTGCCCGACTGTGACTTGTCGCACCAACCTGTATACAAGTTAGATAAACTTTGTCAGCTCGTCAAAGCTTTTCCCTTCATATCTCCTTTCTTTACTAAGAGCAAAAGGAAGTGATGATCTCATACAAAACCACCAATAATACCAAGAAAACAAAACAAAAAAAACTAACTAAAAAAAAAGACAAATAGAACGAAGGGGTGTTTTTAAAAGACAAAAAAAGAGGGTACAATGAGATATAACAAAAAGAAACACAAAGAGAAAAGCCCGAGGGCTGACAAAGGGTAAACTATCTCTATAAAGAAATAGCATAGGGGAAATGAAATAAAAAAAAAACAAAACAAAAAAACAAAACAAAAAAAAATACACTATTATAATCTGTGCCAGGTTTAAAAAAAAATTTCATAACAACTACAATATTTGTATATCTTGACTATAATATAAGACCTTTATTATCTAACTGCTGGCCACCTCTGAATGTTTCTTATGCCAGAGACCTGATCCCAGTCATGTGGAGGTCCCATATCCATAGACTACGTCGCGTATCGTATCCACCAATAAACAAGGCACGTGGTTGTATTCCTGGGTACGTCCGAATTTGGGAGGTAAACAATGCTGATCTTTTGGAGGGGTAAGCTGAATCGCCCACTTTTTGTCAAAAATTTTGGAGAAGACCAACATAACCAAGAGAGACTTAAAGGAAGAACCACTAGCATCCAAAGAAAAGAAAGTATTTTATCCTTGAAAGAACCGATGACTAGTAACCCTTTTTCTAGGAAAGGGAAGGAGCTACTGTACTTAAACGGTAAGTGATAAACTCTAAACTTGTTGGCAAGTAGCATATGAGAACTACTTTTAAATGACAAGTGCCGTGCCAGTGGTAAGTGATAAACTCTGAAGAAGTTAGCAGGTAGTATATGAGAACTACCTCTAAATAACAACTGTCGACTTATGGATTCCAGTTTTACGCTCTCCATTACTTACTAGTTACTGTTTTTACAAAAATTGTTTGAAAAATTTTGGTTTTAGTGATCGTTGAAAAGAGTGAATCAATTATAGTATTTTATCAATAATAAAATTAATTATAGTATAGTATTTAATTGTTATATATAAATTTTACTTGCTATAATACTACAATGCTATAATATTACAATGCTATAATATTATAATATTATAATACTATAATGTTGTAATACTACAATATTATAATTTTGTAATTTTATAATAATACAATATTGTAATAATTTTTTTTTTTTTTAATTTGGCAGTCTTGCCTTTACTTTATTAGGCTTAATAATATTATACTTTAAAATATTAACTTTTCAGAGGGTTATCTCTTCTGATATCTAAATTACAAGTAACGGCTTACCTGGTTGTTTAGAAAATATCTATATGCAAACTACTATAGTAAGGTTTATTTTTATACTAATTTACTCTGCAAATAAGTTTATTAGTATTTTTTCAGATGATTTTTACAGCTTGTCAAGATTACTAATTAATTTTCTACTATTCAGCCTTTTGTTTACTTTTTATCTAACTTAACACTTCTTTTTTAGCTATATCTAAAACTGACTTCTATCTTACTTCAGCTTCTTTTTTTTTACTTTCTCTTTTGTAGGTCTTGTCTATTGGGTTTATTTCTTTGCTTGTTTTTTTTTTCTTTTTCTTCTTCTTTTGTTTCCTTTTGGTATCTGTACTATATTCTTGCTTTTCTTTTTGCATTATACTATTTTTTTTTTTCTACTTCTATACTAATCTGCATTTTTCAATCTATATTTTTTTGTAAATCTTTTTCATCCACCTTTTCTAAAGCCTTACTATGAAGTCTTTTGTTTGTTTATTAAATATGAAGCTTGGCTATATTTTGTTAAAGTCTTCTTTCATAATCAGACTTCTTATTTATTTCTTTCTTCTGCAAAGCTCCTCAGCTAAACATTTTTTTTCTATCATAGTTAGAATTTCTTTTTTCTTTTTATATATGTTTTGTAGATCTTTCATTTTTTTAAAAATTATCTCTACTTCTTTCTCTTCTATATTACATATTAGACTTATTAAAACTTTACAGCTTACTAAATATTTTATATTTTTCATTTTTTTTTTATATATAATACATTTATTGTTTTTGTATATATTTGGATTTCTCTAATTAAGCTTTTTAAACATTAGTAAAATATTGTTTATATACTTTAATTTAAAGAGCTATATTGTATTTGATATATATAATTTTACTGCTTAATTCCACTTTTTAAAATTTTATAAAAATTGGCTAATACTGTAAGGTTATTCTTTCTTAGTATATTGTGTTTTGACTATTATGTATAGAAGTCTATTCTACTTTGTTTATAACTTTTTCAAACATTTTAACAAAAAATGTATTAGCTTTTCTACAACTTTGTCTTTTCACTTGTACTTTAATTTAAATTCTTTCATACTTAATACTGTAGGATTTAAGAGCTC